AAGGTGAGTTAGGTGTTTCAAGTTTAAACTAATTTATCATTTTTGCCCTTCAGGGTTCGTTTGGTAAAGATGGTATTAACGAATTTCTTCGTGATCTCAGCTATGGAAAAGGACAAACCGCTCCTGTCAAGGTGAGAGGGATCCTCGTGTGAACGACGTTGACATGCTATTTTTAGGGCGCCACATTCCCAAAAATCAAGAAAATAGACCCGTGGGATGGCAAGGATGGTCAGCTCCCCCCTGAGGAAGACATAGATCTCTCCGATGTCGATCTTGACCACACCGAGTTGTAATACCTAAGAACTAGTTCTGTCTTATTTATTAATTTGATTTAATTTAAATGTCGCAAGACTTGACCTTGTTGTTTTAATTTAAGTCAAAATTGTTTTATTTCCCATCGGGTTCTGTGATCCACTCTGAAGGGCTGTGGGGCATCGAGATCCTTTCTGAGGTGTTTATGGGTTTCGTGTTGATTATACTTGCTTTGAGCAGCAGAGAATGCAACACGAGTTTATCCTAGTTGTTCTTTTTTCGTGGAGGACTCGTTCTAGTGCCTATTCAAGTTTTTTTGTTGTGTATAATAAATTTTTGTTGTTTGTATCGTTACACTTTGTATGTTAAGGAAGATCCTAATTTTAGTCAAGAAAGTATGACTAGGTTTGGCTTTGTTGGCAATTGTTGTAGAGCTTGCAGTGTTAGTGCGGAAATTTTTTTACGAAATGGAGTGTAATCAGTATATAGGAGAAAGGACTTGTTCATCTTAGTGGGTCCATCCAACAGGTACGAAGCGGCACTTACTGCGCGAAAATCTGTACACGGAGCGTTATTTACTCAACAGTGCTCACAATGTTTTTCGAAGAGTGAGAGAGGCACTAGAATAAGTTTGAAGTTAGGACGAAGATTGCAGATATACTCATTCCACCTAAAAATTATTGGATTTGTTAACAGAGGAATTAGTAAGGATTTCTGTTCCAGAATTGTTCCAAAATATCAAGAAATATTGGCATGCAAAAACGTTCTGAAAAGGACATATGAGGAGAATGAAAGTCGACCAAGAAAGCTTTCTCTTGAAAATTTTAGTCACAGCTCTCTGTAGGAGCGTCTACAGGATGAAGAAATAGTGTTCGCTCTATAATTTCTTATTTTTTTTATTTCGCATACTTTCTACGCCTTTATGATTTTTTGAGAGGCTAGCTTGAACATAGATTTCTATCATAAATTAAGCTTGTACTTTAGGTGGTACGGTAGGATGAAATGTAAAAATATAGAAAGCTTTAGCGCTATCTCTAAGCACCTGTCACAACACAAAGCTTTGCGTCATCAAGCTATCATTTATGGAATAATAATTCCAACAGACAGGTTGCGATATTCAAATTCATTTTGGAATGTACGCTGAAACATTTAACTCACTGATAATTCTACCGTGATGGAAGTTGCAAGAACCGTTTATAATTTAGTCATCGATCGAGTCAGTCCATTAAAGTGAACTAAGCAAATACACATGTTTTTGCACACATTCTATCCATGATGAAAACGGAAACAACAAATTTGTTTGATATTTATTGTGGCATAAACTTCCAATAATCAAAATCATAAATATATAAAGCCTAAAATGGGAATACATTATGTGCGCGATTGTGGGAACACTGTGGAATTTGGGAATTAATACTGTTAGCGTATGTCTCTATGGATGAATGAACAATAATGAGAATGATAACTACCAATGGCCTATACTATCTCATAGGTGAAAGAGCATAATGTTATATTCTTGGGCTCTCTATTTTTTCCTTGAGTCATATTTCCTTAACTGCGTTCTACTTCTGCATATCACATTAAACTATCAATGAAGTGCGTCGACTACGCTGGCTCACAACATCTAAAGCCGACTGTTACTTACTTCAATTTTTACTTTCATGTGATCGTTAAAGGTTAGATTTTGAAAAGACGTTAAATTAGCAGATTACGTGCTCTACATTGAGGTCTCATTATGTCATAATATCTCTATTAGGATCTCGGACAATCCTGCAAAATGTTTCCCTCAAATCTTCATACTTTCGCATTTGATGTGTATTGTAAAACGTTGTGTTCTTAGGGTTGTCAGCACTAGCACCTTGGATTGATCAGCAATCACTAACTGTTATTCACTTAGTGTAGTTTTGAATATGAACCTCATTTGTATGAAGCGCTGAGCAGCCACTCCGCTCGCAGTCAAAGTCAATCAGTTTTTAGCTATACATACGCACTCATCAGAGAATCACTGGTCGGTACCCAAAGCTTTCTTCAAAATTTAGAGAAGTTTTCTAGCTAATCTTCCTTATTTTAGCGAGAATTGTTACCTTACATTTTCAAATAAACATAGAAATTAAGTAGGTGGGTCACCAGATGTAGTCTCCTGACGCCTTGTTTAAAGTGCTGATTGGAATTAAGTGAAATTGAATGGTGCTTAAAAGGTATAAGTTTCTGAAAATTTGAAGGAATGAATTAAAATCAAACATATTGTAAGGGATTCAGCACAGATCTGATAGCTGAGTTTAATCAATCTCATCTGCAACTTAAACTATAGGGCTTAAAATTTACTCTTACTTAGATAGTTACGTAAATTGCCTGTCTTCACTTGTCATGCAGGTCCCAGCACTGTTTCCGTACGCTTCTGTACCTTGCTAGCGTCATCTACGATTTGGTGTTGAGCTGCG